AATTCGAATTCTAATAGTAAACGCTAATCTTAATCGGATCTTAACGATCTGATATGATCAGAAATTATCCAATATTCAATGGCATTTTTAACAATTTTCATTTTTCATCTTTTTTAATTTTTTTCAGATCAATTCTAGAAGAAATTTTCACCGAAAGTTCACGGTCAATATCATTGCGAGATTTTTCAACATTTTCATTATTCGACTTAATTCAACAGCAAAATTTATTTGATAAAAATAATATTATAAATGATAATAATGATAATATTACTGTAAATAATGATAATGTACAAGCGAAAGTAAAGGTTAATTTTTCAATTAAATCTTTAAAAAAGTTTAATAAAATTGCAATTTAATTATAAAAATAAATTAGAAAAATAGGAAAGCGATAATTTTGATTATTCATATTGTCTAATTATTTGCACTTTTGGGTTGTTGGTCAATTCAAAGCATCGATATTGAGGTTTTATTTCCCGCAGGAGTAAATTCTAGCGACTCACCTGCGACTTTTCGCTATATTGCCAGAGGCCTCCATGGCATATCTGTTCAGTACAATAAGCCAGCGGAGTTAGTCCAACCATCAGTAGTGAGGACTCGTTTAAAAAAAAATTATTTACACTATTCGTTCTAAATAAGTCTTTGTGGCGATTAACAGTTGCAAGAAAGGACAATAATACAATAATAACTTTGAAAAATAATTAATTATTATTTAATATAAAATAGAGATTTCGTAAACTTGGACTGATATTCGACTGATAATGCCACATTTTTAAAAAATCTTCATAAATATTCGAATTTAGCAAGCATTATTGGACTCAATAGTTTCTGAATTTTTGAATTAAGTTTTATGCTACAACAAAAAACCAATAATAATTTTGGTTCGTATTGCACCATCTTGTCTACCACTTCTAATTATTTGCGCCATCTTATCTACCACTTCTACTTGTTCTTCTTAATGCACCAATTCGCATTAGGCTAAATCTACTGGCTGCACGAATGACAGCGTTCCAAATCTTCTAATACAATACTTTTATCTTATATTCCGCTTATCACCACAATGAACACCAAATACCTATGTGCTGAAAATTCTCTAGTATATATATCAAGTCTTTATCACTAATATTTATCACTAATCTTCGGTAATACATAATTTATAGCATAGTTGTAATGATATTAGTATGATATCATTTCATTGATAATTTTATTGATAATTTTTCCACTAATTCGTTTTTATTATTTATATTATTATTTAATAGTCAATTAGATCAAAAGATTTAAGAAATTTGAATTTTTTTAGAAATAGAAGTGTCCATTTCTTTTATTTATTTTTTATTATTCTTCCAATTGTTTCCAGTAATTTAATAAATTCAATTGTTTAATTAAATAATAAAATTAATTAAAATTAATTAACTAAATTTGAGCATAAATTATGAAAAATAAAATTAATTTAAATTGAAAAAAAAATTTTCAAATTTTTTTAAAAGAATTTTTCAAAAATTTTTTTTTAGAGATGTGAAACGTGCAATAAATTTATACATCGAAATGCACCAATATGTCCGATTTGTAAGACGAAAAGTTATTCAAAATATCCGAAAAAATCAAAAAAAATTAATTTTTAGTTGAATTATTTTTATTTGTCGTTTTTTTTTTAAATTTTATTTTTTAGAAATTTATATATTTAAATTAAATGAAATAAAATTTTAATTTTAAAATTTCAAAAATTTTTATATATAAAATTCAAATTCAAATTTTTAAAATATTTCATCTGATTAGCATTCATTATTTCTCATTTATTAGATTCGTTCCATTGGTTTTTAGAAATTTTTAGAAATTTAAAATCACCAAAGAATCACGAAAGAGAGATCAAAAAAAAAAAAAATACGAGGCCAATTTATAGTATTTATAGAGATAAAACGAATCAATTTGATAATCTCAAGTGATAAATGCTTGGCAGTGATAAATACTTGGCCATCCAATTCGTTTCAATTTTATTTTCATTTAATTTCGTTCAATTTTTTAAAATAATTTCACAATAAAATCATATTTTTAATGCCAAAAATCAATGTATTTTTAAAAAATTTATTCCTTCCTTTTTCTTTAAATCGCAGATTTTCGTTTTTTTTTTTAAAATAAATTTAAAAAGATTAGTTCATTTTTATTTTCATAATTATATTTATTATGTTAATTACATAACTTTTTTTTGTTAGTAATCATTAATCTGATTTTTGTGATTTCATTTAAATTTAAATATATTTGTATTCATATTTATACATATATTTTAATTAATTTGTTGGAAATTCAATGAAATTTTTTAAATAATAAACCAATAATAAATAATAAAAATAATATAATAATAAAAAACAAATAATAAATATAATAAATATAAACAATAAATATAAACAAATAAAATAATGATAATAATGATAACAAATATCAAATCAAATTACTAACAATTCAAAATTATTAAAAGCAATTAATATATAAAATTGGATAAAAATGGTAGAAACATTACTGAAATAATTTTTAATTCAATATTATTCACCACTGGGCCAAACGCAATATGACAGCGGTATGGAATAAATTGCCTACTATGGTCCTAAATTATGATCTAAAAACCTAAATGGTTCTTCATATGGCTTGAATTTGTTAGCGCCTCACCTTATCTTATTAGGCGAACTCCACTGGCTCTTCAGGCGTTCATTTCACTTGGATTCAGGTACTCAGATAGATCGCCAGCGCCAGAATGGAATAAACCGAGAGATAAAATGAATGGCTGTGGATTTGACTTGCTCAATTCGAAGCGCCGATGCTGAAGTTCTATTTCCTGCAGGAATAAACCTGTTCAAAAATCCGGGTGATATTGGTGCACTTCTATCACCAAGGGACTCCCTGGCATATGGCATATTTGTCCAATACAACAAGGCAGCGGAGCGAGTTCAACCAGTAATGGTGAGGACCCTTTAAAAAAGAAAATATGGGATAAATCATTTAGCGTGAGATCATATAAGCGAACTAAAATTAGATTGGTACTTTGTTTTTCTAATTTGTTCCATTCCAGAATTTCATTATGAATTTTAATATTTAAATTTAAATTCACATTTGACTACTTCTTGTCTATTTCTTTGATTTTGAATTTTCATCGTTTTGCCTAATTCCACTTCTTGCTGGAACGGAAATCCTTCGTCGGACATTGAATTATTTAGCTATAAAAATAAAATTTGATCTATAGAAGCACCAGATTTCTTATCCTAACGAAGGAGAGAATGGTACTTGAATGGTACTCGAATTGGAACCACTCTATTATTTCCCCATTCATCCCTTCGCCGTATTAATTTCCCATTTCTAATTTTTAAGAAATAAATATATGTATTCGCATTGATTAAATTAAAAGTTAATTAATATTAATAATAATATTTTTTAATATTTTTTTAATAATATGCTAATTAGTAATTATAGGTTTTTTCTTTTTTTCTCATTTCATTTGCCATCACTATTAAATTTTCTTTTTTTTTCGAATATTTAGCTTATTTATAATACAAATAATATTTATTCGATGTGTCGTTGGTTGATTGGTTGTTTGTTAGTAAAATATTAGCAATAGCTGAGATATGAAATTGAGTCGGTGCTTCATCGGGTGATCGGTGCAGAATGAAGGCAAATTTTGTTCATTTCGGAATGCACATGCATTAATTCTATTCTCCGCAGGAATAAAGCTGTACTTCAAAAATCCAACTGCACCATCCATCGCAAAAACTCCGAAATGTTCAATTCAACACGCCAATATAGATGCAAGCTTAGCCCACAACGCATATATCGCTTTTATCTATAATCCATTTTTTGGTTTATTTCCATTTGGCATGGAATCGACTACTAACGCGATTACCGATTTCGAGGATTATCACCAGGAAATAATGAGATGAAAAATTTATATTTATTTATCTCGTCTAAGAGTAAAAACAATGAGCAAAAGATTAATATTAAATTTTTCCATAAAAAAAAAAGGGAAAACTTTTATATAAAAATTTTTTTTTGCAATTTTATACAATTTAAATTATTTGTTAAATTATTTATATTAATTATCTATTAAATTGTATTATATTATACAAAATAAATAATTCAAATTTAGAAAAAGAACATTTAAATCATTAATTTTTCCCTTTTAAAAATAATTTAAACTAAAATTTTTCATTCTTTTTAGATAATTTAGTTTCTAATTTTTTTTTTCCGAACTAATGAAAATAAAAATGAAAATCTTTTTTCCGTTCTTTTTTTTTCCTGAAAAAAGGTCTCATTTATTCTAATTTAAACCGAAATAAATTAATTAAAATTCTTATATAATTGCATATAATTTAAGAAATGTCATTCATTCATTATTGATTTGTGGGCAATATTGACAAAATTTATTAGACGCAAAAGAATTGGTTTTTCTTCTTTTTTTTTTGTTGGGAAATCTTCGAAAGATATTTTAGTTGTGACAGGCTGTGACTCGCCCTTCATTATTAAACATTAATCACCCGAGAATATCGCGGAATTTTCCAAAACTTTTCGTTCACAGTTATTCTCTGAAGATAATATTATAATATAGCTAATTTGTCATTTATCATTTATCATTTTAATTTGCAATTTATCACTAATACAAAAGGAGACATCTCAGCGATTCAAATTTGCTTATCATAAATCATTTTATTAGCTTTATCAGCTCAATTAATATTTTTGCTCATTGGCTGCCCGCTAATTTATGCTAATTTAATTTTGGCCATTTTAATTCTAGATGCTTCACTAAAATTAACGCTTCTTTATAAGAATTTCCTCTAGAAAAATCGAAACAATCATTGACTATAAAAATTAGAAAACTACTTGTGAATTATCTTTGATTCTCTTATACAACGAAAACTTTCGATATTTATAATTTTCGTCAAAAAATTTGCATAAAACAAAACTAAAATTAAATTAATTAAATAAAATTAATAATTAATAAAATACAATAAGAAAAAGTAATTCTATAAATCAGATGAATTTCGTCGATTTTCAGGAGTTCGAAGAATTTTCGGCTTTGAACTGAATACAGCCATATATTCACTTTAAAAAATTATAAAATTAATATAAATTATAATAATAATATTCTTCTTTGTTTTACTTTATTTGATCAATTTAAGCCAAATATTTGAGTTTAAAAAACAAATAAGTTAGCAGAAAAATAACTAAATCGCCCAAATTCAAATTTTTTAAAAATATCATAATTAATCTTAATTCTTAAATATCATAATTAATTAAAAATATAAAAAATTAAAATATAAAAAAATATAAAAATAATAAAAAATATAAAATTAACCTTAAAAAATCACAATTAATACTTTCAATTAATTCTTTCACTCCCCTTACTTACTGCACTTAATTTTTTAACTGAAAGAAGCCTAAAGATCGCTGGCGTATTTTCATTCAGAAATCTAGACTTTGAACTGAATAACTGAATATTTCCTCTCTATATTTTTAATTTTGCTTTAAAATAATCATCTTTTTCTATTTTATAATCGTAGTCTCCTCTAGAGAACACTAAAATCTTCCTTTAAGTTACTTAATTTCCCTTCAGTTTTACGAACTTAAATTCTTATTTAGAATCGCAAATCAGATTCTATTATTTTTATAGAACTATTTTGCATTAAAAATGCAGTAACATAAAAAACAAATAAATGCATATAATATATCAGTATACTTCTATTATTTCTTGAAAAGCATTAAAAAAACCTTTCTTGTGAGCAATTTGAAATATCGGGAACATCAGGTAAAAAATCTCTACTCGCCTTAAATACAAAGCATTTACTTTTTATGAAATAGTTCTTTTAGGTTACAAATAATAATTGCTAATTGCTAATAATTTATCAACTAAATTTCAAAAATATGTGTTATTCAATAATATTTGAATAAAAAATGTTAATTGAAAAGAAAATAATAAAAGAATAACATTATGCCAAACTTACTTCGAAAGAGTGATTGACTGATAAAAGTTGATTATCAGAAATGTCATCAAAAGCTTTCCGAACGATATGCTGGTAATGTTTTGGACTGAAATTGTTTTATAATGAAAAAAACAAGTCGTCAGCGTTTACCATTCCCGACTGAGTTCTCTCGTTATTATAATTGGTACCGTTAAAAATTTTGCCAAGGAATCACATGGTAACAGAAACACAAGTGCCACTCGAATTTTTTAACTTCCTCTTAACACGTTAATCTCAACCATTAACCATTAAGTTAGCTATTCGTCCTCTTCAAAATTACCTTTTTATAGACAAATATGTAGCTTATAAAATACTTTAAAAAAATTTATCAAAACCGAACCTCGACGTTTTATTTTTTATCTTTCTTTCATTATAACTGCATTCAACAACTGAAATTACTTTTTATATATTTTTAAGAATAAGGAAAAATTGATAAAATCACTTCCAATACGATTTTCTATCCTTATCAGATAATTATCAGATAATAACTTAAAGATAGAAGTACGAGTAATTCACTAGCAATAAATTACATTCCACTTACATAATTCTGTCAAACGAAACCCTCGAACCCCTTTAAACTATAGCAGAAACAACTTATAAAATCCAAGGCACAAATATCAATTCATTCAATTTGTGAAAATAAAAAATTCTATATAATTACTTGTTTTAAATGGATCAAAAACGATTGGTTTTCGTCGCGTATTGTCGACTATATAAGTACACTGCGATATGGGTCGGTAATCTATTGAATTAATTTGTTCGGCTGACAATGATGTTATTTTATTGATTGTTTTCCGTAAAATATTATTTGTATTAGATACGGTCATTATTGATTGATAGTAATTATCAGGTACTGTACCTGGTACAAGCATATCATCATGTTGATTCATTGATAAATTCTTATCAGACGTATGAAATAAAGAAAATTTCAATTCTAAAAGTTTTTCACCAAATAAATCCGTATGATTTACATGAAAACTATCACGACTCTCAATTTCTGCTTCAATATAATCATCTTCCTTAAATTTTACGTAATTATTTAATAAATATATTTACATAATTTTAAAAATTGATTTTAAAAATTTTAAATGATCTAATATTATAAACATTTTAAATAATCTAGTATAGATGGCTTCTTTCCAACAATTTATTTTCCAGTGCAAATATTTATCAGCCGTGCTGGTGTTAATACTGGTGCGGGTACCGGTGATGGTGCTGGTACTTCCACTTAATTAAATGCCTATATAAATAGAAGAAGGTGAACAACGAACCTGTGTTATACAATCCTCGTTTACGACAAATCGCCTCGTATAATTGCCTTCTGAAGATTTCATTTATATTTTCTTCTTTTTTCTAAATCACCTCTCCCCCCTCTCCTCCTTTCCTCTTGCCTTCTTTTTTAGAAATTCTTTTTCTTTTCATTTTCCTTTAAATCAACTTTTAAAAAAGTATATAATAAAAAGTAATAAAACAATTCAACTAACCAACCGATACAATCGATTTCAGATAAATAATATGAATAATAGATTATCATTAAATAATTAGTAAATTATAGAGAGAAAAAAGAAGATGAAAGAAACCTGGCCCCTGAGGTACTCATACTGTGATATCTTATATTATCACAGCAGAGGTCTCAGGGAAGAGGGTACAACCATCTTATACAAAACGTTTCAGACTTGATATATTCTATCACTATATTTATCACTATAAGAATAAAACCGCGAAAATTCATGGGACATTGCGCGAATATTAATCTTTTAAAGCAAATCGCTAAAAACTTCGCGATTTTCGAAATTCAAAATGACTGTATGACTAAAACTATTTACGCAGATCAATTTCCGCGAAAAAGAGATCACTTTTTTTATAATCAATAAAGTAAAATTTAGTAATTTTAATAAAATTTCTTTCCTAAGATTAATATTAACGCATATGCTTAGACTTAAACCTTTTATAAGAGTGAAAATTCAATGCCTATGCTAAGATTTGTAATAATTTACCTGATTTAGGCGTGTAATAAGGATAAACAATATGGAATAGGAAGGCGGTGAGGGGAGGATTTACGATTTAGGCTCAGCACTATTCAGTAGAGAGAGAGAGAAAGAGATATGATAAAAAAGATAAGGAATGCGCTTGACACAACAGGCGAGGCATTTAGCAATAGGCCTAGGCTTTAAAAAAAAAAAGGATAAATAATTTAATCGAATAGATAATAATGAAAATAAATGAATGAGCTCGTTCATAGTCGTCAGCGGCGAGAAGCGGCGAGAAATTCTCAGTTAGATTTTTTAAAAATAAAATAAAATTGAGTAGAGTGACTGGTACAAGATTATACAAAATAATGCGACGACGAATAGCTTGGCACGAAAAAATCTCCTTTTTTCTTTTTTCTATTCCATTCATTTATCGTTGTGATAATCATTACTCACCACTAACCCCGTATAAATCGCCACCACCTTACCCCCTTATCCTCCCACTTTTTTTTTCGAAATAGCTTTTTTTAAAAAATCTTCCTCTTCCATTCTTCATTTTTTCTTTCCTAAAACCAAATGGCTTCAAATCTCCGTCTTTAAATCACCACTATCATTCTACTCTGCGTTCCTTCCTCCTTCATATTCCTCCACTTCTTCCCTCCCCCCTTAAAATTTCTAAAAAAATACAAAAAAACACTAAAAAACAATCAATTACCGTAGCCAGTCAGGGCAAATAGAGAGGATGGTCTCGAGACGAAAATTACAATGAATTACGCGTACAGCTGTTTTTTGCTCGAATTGAGCGTCCTTAACTTTTTTCTATTCCTTAAACACCGTTGATGGTGTGGTGGGCATTCGCGGGGTTTTTTTCTTTCAAGGTAAAGAACTCTCCCTTTTAGAGAAATAATTATAATAATTCTTGCCTCAGTATAGATCACAAATTAAACCACAACAGTGTGGTTTTTCACTAACATTTACGATTCGAGAAAAAAAAAACGTCTTCAATTATAATTTAATGAAGTATGGATTTTTTTTTTCAAATTTATATTTATCGATGCGTAAAAATTCGATGAACTTAAACAATGGAACTGAAATTATACGAATGGAGGACTTCAGGCTTAAGATGATCGATTGATTGTTTTTCCAAGCAGTGTGGTACTTAACGGATTAACGAAACTATAGCACTAATTTCGAGTGGGAAAATTAATGAAAATTTATAAAAAAAAAATATGAATCTCAACGATAATTTAAATAAAAATTCTTGCGAAAGAATTGGTGAAGACAGATGTTCGCTGCCGAAATTATTCGCAAAAAAAATTAGGTCAACCCCTCAATTAACCTGATTTTAAACTTCCGAGAAATATCACGAGGTTTTTTGAAAAAAAAAAATTTCGTTTATTATTTCTTTTTTATTCTTTAACACGTTTTTTTTAACCTTTTGACCTCTATTATATAAGCAAAAAGTTGGTGAGTTTAAAAATTCAGCGACAATGAATTAAGAGGAGAGAAAATTGATAGCGAAATAGAGAGATGTAAAAAATATATTATGCATGAAAAAAGATAAAGGAATGAGTGATAAGAGATGACGAGAGAGATGATAAAGGGTGATAAAGAGTTGTAATAATGATCATGATAATACTGAAAAAAAAAAATGGAATAAAGAAACAAAAACTAACGGCAACATTGGAACTTAGTTTCTGTGAACGTATATAAAGTCATAGAATCAGTTAATTTAACTTGTTTAACAGATTTTTTTTCGTATATGATACCTTCCTTTTTAGGAGAAAATTATGAATTCCTTCTTCTTCTTTATATCTCCTCTCCTTCATTGTCATACTTCTTAAAATCTATGGACCCCTTGTTGAAGATGTCTCGTGAATCTTTGTTTTAGAAAATCAGTGGCAAATGTCGTAAGCCAAATTACTACTATTCTCGCGGATGCACAACATGTACATTCACGAATGTACACACATAAGCACGCACATAAACACATACACTCATACACAAACAAATAGGACGAGAAAATGCTGAATTATGAACTTTGATCTATGAACATAGAAAATAACCGTTTTCATGGAAATTTTAAAGCTTTCTTGTAATGTTTGCATGTATAAATATGCGTATGTGTGTATCATTGCTTATATATTCGAGTATTATACGAATCCGTTGAGATAAGAAGATAAAATATAATGAGGAGAGGTTGCAGACAGGTTAGACGAATATATTTCTGGAAAAATATCTATTTACTAGAAAAAATTAGAACATAAAACGTGCAAATTAATAGTCTTGAAAGCGAAGAGAAGTAAGTAAGTTAGATACCCAAGAAGAAATAACTTTTTTGGAGAGTTTAGAGAAAAAAGGTAATTGAACGGCGTTCAAGGCGACGTAATGAAATTCAATAAAAAATAGTGAGTAGTGATAGTGTGTGAAAAACGTTCGACAAGAAATACTTCCACTATAGGGACCGTACTATTTTAAAATTTAGGTGAAGAGTGGTCAAAAGGTTAGAGAGGGAGTATGATTAAAGGAGGTCAAAAGGCCAGAGGGTGGATAGGGTCAAATGAGGCGAGAAGGGAATACGGGGAATTTTCTAAATTTTCTTTAACCTTTGATTTGCCTCTAAATGAAATTTATTTCCTTAACTGATAAAGGATAAACTGATAACCAACTTTCTTTAATGATCGACAAAATGCTTTTCTAATTATATTTAAACGAAACTTCTTCAAGTAGCACAAACCATTTCTGGTTTGGTTCACTCCACTGAAGAGAATCACTTATGGCACAAAGTGACATATATTTATTTTCGCCAAGGGACAGGAAATAAATTCTTAGATGCCTTATTCGAAACTAAATATTATTCAGTTCCTCAAATTCAAACGATGAATGACAAAATATCATTAATGAGAACGATTATTTATAGGAAAATGAAAAGAAGGATGATAAATGAGTTGATAAGTTATAATAATATTGCTAAAATATTAATATTAATGTTAAAATATTATTAAAATACTAAATAATATATAATAATATCATGAAAATAATATTATGAAATTATAAATATATAAAATATTATATTTTATTACATAAAATAAAATAAAAACCTCGTTTAAGTAATTTCATAATCAACGGTATTTGTACTGAATCATCGTAACAATGATTTAATTTCTTCTCGAGTAATTCAATAAAATTATTTTCTTTAGCTCGAACTCGAACTCCTCCAATACCAAATATTATATATAAAATTCCATTTATATATTTACATATCTTTAAAATAAATCTTTTTTATTTATTTTTATTTTTTATTATTTAAATGTACACTGCAAAATTAATTATTTCCACTTAATTAATTATTTAATTAATTAATTGATTAATTAATTAATAAATTGTTATTAATTATTATCATTATAAAACTAATTATTTCCACTTTTTCATTAAAGTAATAAATAATATAAATGAGTAAGTAATTATTCTTATTATTACACTTTAACGATAAGTAAATTAAGTAATAAAAAAGTAATCGTATAGTAATTATTTATAACTTTTTAAAATAAAAGGGATTTCCGTTTAAAAAAAGATTATAGAAAAATAAATAAAAAATTTCAAAAAAATATTCACCATAAACAAGTGGTTATCACATACCTTTGTATTATTTATATTTAATAATTTTTTAAATACATTAACAATTATATTGTTTATTCGAAATATAACTGAATGGCTTAGTGAATTAATTGATAAATTGATAAAAAGTGATAAGCCATATTCGAGTAAATAATCATTGATTTTTGTATCACAATAAACTTGTGGTAACCATTCAATGGTACCAATTCGAATCAATTCTTTTTGAACTATTGATCTGAAAAATATTCATTTTTTGATATTTTCTATATTATAGATTTTGAAAGATTCGAATTTTTCTGAAATTTTTTAAATTTTTCATGCAAAAATTTATTCGGAAAACTATAGAAATTCATATTCTTTCATTCGTTTTTCGAAGTCAAATTTTTATTTTTTGCTATTTATTAATTAAGGCATATTTAAATGCTCTGTTATATTTATTTTCGTTAACAATTGTAAAGAACATAAGAATTGTGAAGAAATAATAATATATAGATTTTTTTTAGGTTGAAAGAAGGAATGGTTTCTATTATTTTCCGATATGGCATCGAATTGGATCGAGTAACTTAGAAACGTCACACTTTTGGTTTTCAGTGAAACCAATTTAACCAATAATGGTGCCGAGATATGGTACCACGATAAAGAAGAATTATAAAGAAATAAGGGCATTAGCTAATTTTATTTTAATTTATCAAATAATTTAATTCAAATAAATTTACTTGTAAGACAATTTTTGTAATGTTGCAATAATATTATCGCATGAATAATTAATTAATTTTTTAGTTTTTAGACAATCAATTAATAATTGTAAAAGATCTTTTCCTTGATTATTTGCTAATAAATAATTTCTTCCTAATTCGAATGACGATAACACATTTAATAAACGACTTAATTCTTCTTTTATATCGTTATCACCAGCTGAGAATATTGTTGATAATAAAATCTGAAAAAAATTTTCCATATCATTAACATCAAAAGAAACTATTTTGTTGATAAATGATAATAAAACGTCCTTTAAACCATTTTATAATCATCATTTCAGTTTTTTATTGATAATAATAAAACATCATTTTTTATTACTATCGTTATCATTTTTATTATCATCTTTTTCCAGTAAAATTTCGAAAATTTTTTATTTAAATATATTGAAGCCGAAATTAAAATAGAAATTTGGTTTAACCCATTTCATTATGCGAACCAACTAACTATCAACTAATTTTACTGACTACTAAAATCCCAATGGCAGAAAGTCGCGTGGAGAATGGACTAAAAGTACGTGAAGTGATTTGCACTATACTAACATCCGATAATTTCAATAGCATGTTGTCAAGTTATCTTTGTTACTTCCAGTTTTAAAAAGATTATTTATGGTCTTATTTCGTATTACTAATTGGAGTAGCAAGTTGAGGGTAGTATCAGCGAGTGGATAATAACCGACTCAGATTATCCTGTTAAGAGAGAAAAGTTCAAAAGAAAATTGTCTTTTAATAAGAGTATCATGGTAAATTTGTCATCAAAAGCTATCGATTCTACTTAATTGTAAGTACATAACATCATTCTAAGCCTCAAATTTAAATAATAAATAATTAAATAGTCTCGATGAAATGATTTACCATGATTCTCATGCAAAAATCAATCTTTCCATTAATACTAATATTATCAATTGATTACTTTATCATCTGATAATTCTATAATAAACTGAAGATTTGCTTTAAAAAGAATTAATAAAACAAAAAAACTAACATTTTTTTGATCTTTTAGTAAGAGAATATCGTTTTGTGCAAATATTTCTATAATTTTTCTCGAAAAAATTACTTCTTTTCGAGTTATTTGCTTAAATTTTTCATTTAATTTTTTAAAATACCATAAGTTATTCGGATCAAATTTCAAGTTTACGATGAATTTTTCTAAGAAATATGTCAAGAAAAATTTTAATTTTTGCTTGGAGCACGAAGCAATATTATATGACCTAATTTCCTTCTGAAATCATCAGTTTGACCCTATTTTAATTTATTTCTTTTTGATTTTATCCGATAGAAAAATCTTTTGATAACAATCTAATATGAAAAAACTTTTCAAATAAAATGATAAGATCATATGATAAGAAAAAACAAACCTGACGAATTGCTTGCAATAATAAACAACTTAATCTTCCCGATGGATTTTTTATTAATTCATTTTTTATTTTTTTATAATTCAATTGTGATACAATACAACTTTTAAATTCATCATCTCTAAAATTAATTAAAATTATTATTGTAAATTTATTTAATTGAATCTATTGGAAGATTAGAAGCGATTGACCTCTTCGTGACCTCTCTTCTATCGTATTATTTCGATAAGATGAATTAGTTAATAGGTATCGTAATTTAACCCAACCCACTGTTATTTATAGATATGATTATTGGTCGATTAAATAAAATTTTACTATATTAATAAGAATATATGAAGGTAACTGTATTTCCAGCTCTTATTCCAGTTCCACTTACCCGAGCCCCATTCGTGAATGAATGACAAGAATAAAGTTAACTTAGCAATCTTGTTACAAAAAATCTTATTTTATTGAATTGAATAAAACAAAATAATACTTCGTTGCTGGAAGAATTTTTGGATCATTTGGTATTAAATTTCCAATTGATTCACTTCTCTTGAATTCTTTTTTTTTTAATTCAAAATAATCATTTCTTTCTTCCTGGAAATCATTCTCAATAATTTTTTTTAAATAATTTTTTTTCTAATTTAATTTTTAATTTTTTGAAATTTTTTCCTAATTTATTACTTTTTGAAACGAAAAAAATTATTTAAATTTTTTACAAATATTTATTCTTTTAAATAATTTATTATAAAAGGAAATTTATCAAAATTTTTTAAATTTTTTCTTAAAAAAATAAACGTAAAAATGAAGAGAAAAATAAATGAATAAAAAAACGAACTGTGGTTTGTGAATTATTAGATAAGCTTTTTTTCATTTTTTTTTTGATTTCTGACTTGAATTTCTTCAATTTCGTTGAAATATTATTTATATATTCCAGTGTTACCTTAAATAAACAATTATTATAAAACTTTATAAAATATTCTTTAGAAAATGCTTTTAAATTAATTTTTAATTAACACTAACTATTTTTGGTTAAAATCGCTCAATGAATAATGAGAAATTTTAGCGAATCGCCAGCATCCTCTAAATTTCTTAATGACAACTTCAATCCTTGATGCTTGAAACGATGAGCAAGACTCTAACTTGACTTCATCATTAATTTAAGATATTTTAAGACATGGCAGACCTTACGAATTTATTAATGGTTCCCTTCTAAATTCTTACAGCTTAAGACCAAAAAATATTATTAAAAAAATATTAAAATATATATAGAAATATTAAAATAAATATTAAAAAAATGAAAAAATATCGAGAAGATAACCATATTTCCTTTAAAAGTGTGCAGGCTATCAATAAATTCATTGATAATAATAATAAAACGATTATAATCTTCTTGCAGCTCTCTATATTCCTCGTCAATTTTATCAGAATTATTAATTTTTTGGCTTGAAAGCTGAAAATTCTTGAATACTTTACTTATTATTTATAAGTTAATATGAGCATAAAATCGCTTGAGCATGAAATTCATGATTATTACACGTTTTAAAAGATTTAGAAGATTTAAAATGAAATATTCGAAGTTCTATGATTTTCAACATAATCTTTTACTTTGCTTATCAAATTTTTTGAAGCAAGGAAAATAAAAAACTTAAAAATCTGAAAATTCACTTTAAGTTAACGCGTAAACTATATGTAAACTTAGTTTATAATCATTTTATTATATTATAATCAAAAAGCAATTTATAATTTTATTTTTTCATCTACATTCTCAATTTAAAGTTAAGCTTTTCTGAGAGATTTTGCCCTAAATTCTAAAATTATAACAAAAATTTATAAAAATTGAAACCATCCAGTCAATAATAATTGGTTGACTTTTATAAATATCTGAAGTTATATGGCATTCAATATGATTTTCAACTTTATTTATCAAATTTTTCGCCCATTTCTTCTAAAATATCTTTTTTTATCTTTACATTAATAAAATAAAGCATTATGGTAATTTTGCATTTTTCAAACTGTTGCATAATAAATTTCGCCATTAATAGCTATTTTAAACAGTAAATTTCATAAATAGAAAATTATAACTGATTTATTTCTATTTATGCTTCACTTGCTGTTTTTACGAGAATTTTTTTTTGAAATCACTCAAGGATAGAAATATAGGTAGGAAGTATGTAATTTTTCAGTACCACTCCGATATTTTTTAATGGCAGTTTTGTTCTTCTTGTTGCACAACAACCGAATAATAATCTTCGAAATGAAAATTGAAGGCTATTTTAACAAACAATATGAACACATATAAGAGAAGAGGAATTCGCCTAAGCAAGCGGTAAAAAAAAAGTCATGAAAACATGAAAACGATAGAATTCAAAAACCCGCAATTTTAGACAGTTTCATTCTTTATTATCACTTTTTATCATTGAATTATCCTAGAATATGAAAAGAAAATGATCATATTTTGTATTTCTTTTACATTTAAAATTTAAATAATGCATTTAAATTTCATATATTTTAAAAAGAAATATAAAAAAGATGTTTAACCTGCAACAACTGTTTATATAAAGGATGTCTACTGGGTTCATTAACATAAGGTAATGCAAAATATTGAACGAGTTCAGTATTTCCACTTAGTTTCGAGCCTTGTCCTTCTTCCAAATATTTTTTCAATTCAACTAATCGTTCCCGATATTCATTTTTCATCTATAATTATAATAAATAAATTGATAATCGATTATCGCATAAAATTTTACTAAAAATTTATTGGATTTGGGAAAGAATGGCTCAAAATGAGGTCATTAATTTATTTTCTCGAAACATCAACGCTATTTTCGATAGGATTAAACTTTTCCTTCAAAAAACTCGGATACTAGAGACTCATCTGCATTTCCATCGAAAAGTGGCTCTTTGGTAAAAATTTTTTTTTAAGCCGGCAAATCAGCTGATAAAATATAACCGGAAATGGTTTTAGGTGAAAAAAAATCTAATTATACTTGAAATTTTTTTGCTTCCATTTTCTAAAAAATAATTTTCATCGATTTTCTAAAAAAAACAAACCGTTGGATTTTTTCTAAGCGAAAATGTCGTAAAATAAATTCGAATATAGAATTCTAAGACATCCGAATCGTTACATTCGCCGTTTGGAAAGATATTTTGCCAAATTTTTAAAAAATTTTCGCTATCGCCTTTTTCCAAATAATTTAAAATTTTCTTCTATAAAAAAAAGAAAAAATAAAAATTTAAAAATTAAAAAAATTAAAAATTAAATTTAAGTGAAAATAATTATTTTAAAGTTTTTAAATATTTGTAAAAAAATTCATATAAAATTAAATTTGAACAATTAAACAAAATTTAAAAATATAATAATGAAAAAATTTTTTAAGAATTTAAGAATTTTTTAAGAATTTTAAGAATTTAAATAAAAAAATGATTTTAAATTTTTAAATTTTATTTATGAAAAAATTTGAAAATAAAAAGTTAAGAATTAAAATTAAAGCTTAAATAACAAAAAAAGATTTAAAATTATTATTTTATTAAAATTTTTTAATATATTTATTTATGAAAATTATATTTATTAATGAAAATTTATTTATTAATGAAAAAAAAAATTTGAAAAAAAAATTTAACTTTTTTTGTGAATAATTCTTCTACTTTCCTTAATTTACAAATGCAAAATGTTTGTTTTAATTTAATCATTCGACGATTGCATTCTTGTTGAAATGTTATTAATGTATCGTTAAATCCAGTTAATAGCAAATACTGAAATTAGCAAAAAACAAATTATTTCAGACCTTAAAAGCGAGGAGGCACAACGAAAACTCGCACTGACAAAACCAGTGAGGAAAGATTTTGAATACTAAAATCGTTCAGTGATACCTTCGCTTATGCCAAAGCTACGCAATATTTTATTCTTTCTGGGGTGACTTTTCTCATAGAAGCAAATGTGAAGAAGAAATTGCCTTTGGCCAAGCAAAATACTAGTTTAATAAAGAAAAATAAATTAAAAAACCTTATTTTTAATATTAATAAAGTAAAAGAAAATAGGAGAAGGAGAATTCGTTTTTTGTGGAATTAATGAGTTAATACCTGGCGTGATGGAAGCAGTTATAATTTACAGACCACACTACTAGTTTTTTTTTGGTGCACATACGGTCCGTAGGCACCAGCTCGGATCCTTAGAGTCTCTTTAATTCATTTAAAATTTCTCTCACACTGGCAAGTGGAGGTACAGGCGAGTTATTCAGATTATCGTTTCGAGAGCCATGAACTTTGATTTTAAAAAATCGAGCTGCCTACTGCCAATCGATCCTCCAGTAACTTCCTGGTAGAACTGGTAATTAATTTCTCATTGCACTAATAGTTAGTGCAGCTAATCTAACCAAAAATTAAGTACCAATCACCTACTTACTTACTTATTTCTACTAGCAAATAAAACTATTGAAATTACTTACTTATTTCTACTAGCAAATAAAACTATTGAAATTTTTGTAATAAAATGAGAAAAAAATAAAGAATAAAAAGATAAAACAAACCTGATTAATTGCATCGGCAACATTAATATCAACTTGCATTATTAAAATAATAATTTTTTAATTAATTTTTATTAAAAATATTTTTTTTTATAATAAATATTTATATAATTTCCTTCATCGTACATTCCTCATTTTTCATTTTTTTCGTCGCTTCAATAAATAAATGAAAAATTTTTGCGATAAATTTTTCATAAATTTGTTTCATTGAATTGCCATAGTAACAATAGAATTGTACGGAGATTATATTTTCGAAATGAATTTTTTATTCCTTTTTTAAATTTTAAATAAAAAATTATTCAATTGTAATTAATATATTTAATTTTTTTTATTTTTTTTAAATGAATTTATTTATAAAAGAAAGAAAAAAATAAATTTTTTGAAATAAAATAATATTTGAAATCGAATAAAATTATTTTTCATTTTTCTTTAAATTTTATTTAAAATTTTTCTTAAATTTTTCAAGAAATTTTTAATTTTTTTTTCATAAATGCTAAAGAAGGAATCACCCACTATTTAAAAAATGCTTTTTAGTTGAAATTCTAACTATCGAAATCGAAATTTACTAAGTGATGAGCCGTACGAATTTTGTTTGTTGCCGAGAAATGCAAATTATCGGGGCTGCGCTTTAGTAATTGCGTATTTTTTAACGATGAGTATAACTAACATGGAAGAGTGAAAGTTTAATTGATTTAGGGCAATGCTGGTCTGAATATGAATTGTTTATTTATTATTATTTTGAATTTTGGTGCAAATTGGTGCAAACTTTGGTGCAAACTTTGATGCATGCTTAGAGTTTTAATAATTTTTATATGATTTTTATCGCTGTTAAATATATCTGAAGTTATTTTCGATAAATATTTGTTTTTTATTTGTTCTTTTTTTTTTTGAATATATGCACCATTTCGAATTAATTTAGCTTCACTGAATTATTCAATATTTCAATGATCGTTTCGTCAGAGAATAATTTTACGAATAAAAATGAAAAGAAGAAATTTTTAGTTCAGTGAAAAACTAGAAAACATAGGAAAAGGATTTATTGATTCAATGCACCATTTGGAATATTCGTTCATCGTAGGGAATTAGCGAAACGAACTATATTGGTAAACTGTACCTTTCATGTATTCATACCTTAAATAACTCATTGCTAGTGGTGCATTGTTTCTGAAATCATCTCTCCATCTCCATCGTCTAATCACTGCATAACCGTATAAGTCTTACCGATTTCCGCGATATTTTTTATTTCACGAGACTTTTTTTATTTGGCATGCGGAATAACTCGTTATACCATGAATCAAACGTCTTTTTTCTCAGTTGAAATTTTTCTTATATTTTTCCAACTTATATTTAGAAATGGAAAATAGAGAAATTTTTGAAGATGATAATGCATCGATTATTGGTAAAAAACGCAAAAGAAATTTTATTCATGAACGCTATCCGAAGCGCCGTATCGCTTTAATGTTTCTTTATTTTGGATGGAATTATGAAGGGCTTATTTGCCAGCCAAATACACCTAACACTGTAAGCTTTTTTTTAAAACATCGCTTGCCATTTTTGTGAGGACGTAAACTTCGTTCATTTTTCGTGATTCAGGTAAATTTTGCCTGGGTATAGGTCACTATCCAGATTTTTAGTTTTTTGAAAAATAAAAAATTAATTTCTGCACGAGTATAATCTCAGCATTGATGTTACAAGTGGGAGCAACAAAGGCTATTTTCCACGTCTCCCTCCTCTCTTCTTTTCTCTACTATGATATAAATTTCATTTTTCTATCCACCTAGAAGATAAAAAAGAAGAAAATTTAAAGCGAGTGATTATACAAGTTATGTTGAAAATTTATATCATTATATCATTAAAAAGCACTACAGAAGATTTTCGTAATAAAAAATCATTAAAAAATTTAGAATAATCGATTTATGCTAAAGCTATCTTCTTCGGCTATATGGATAGGCTAAAGTATACCATACATGTATTAAATATTTTTCCGAAGTGTATTCCGAAAACTGTACCATAAATTTATCTCGGTAGACGGTCTACTTTATCAGTTCATTTCATTTTTAGGTAGAAGAAGAATTAAAGAGTGCTTTATTAAAAACTTGTCTCATTGAAGATTGGGAAACATGTGAATGGAATCGATGTGGAAGAACGGATAAATTTGTGTCAGGATTTCGACAGATTGCATCTCTTATCGTGAGGTATCTTCTCAATTTCTATCTAGTAATAACGAGATGGTGTCTTTCTAAAATCTATTTTAATTTTAATTTAAGCTTTAATTGATCTTTTTTTTCCTTAATGCTTTATTTTGTGGACCATTTTTATTTTATAATAATTTAAAAATATGTAATATACAGTAGTATTTAAAGGTTTATTCATTAGTAATTTTGGTCTTATAAATTATTTACAAATTTTTTTCGCATGGTTTTGAAATATTTTAAAGTTTTTTTTCTAAAAATTCTCATTATTGTTAGTCAGATTCACTCCGCTGGCTATGAAAAAAATTTTGGTCCAGAAAAATTTTGGCGGGGAATCACTTAGCAATCACAATAGAAATACAGGTGAGCTGCCTGCATCACCTGGATCTTTGAAGGACGAAAGTACCCCCGCCGAATGTAAAACATCAACATCGGCGCTTCAAACTGAATAACAATCCTCCGAACCATTTTATCTCCTTTGGTTTTCGCATTTCGACGACTTTGCAGCCCAACGAAGCGTAATGCCTCGATAGGATTCAAACTCTAGCCATAGCTGCCTGCATCACCTGGATCTTTGAAGGACGAAAGTACCCCCGCCGAATGTAAAACATCAACATCGGCGCTTCAAATTGAATAACAATCCTCCGAACCATTTTATCTCCTTTGGTTTTCGCATTTCGACGACTTTGCAGCCCAACGAAGCGTAATGCCTCGATAGGATTCAAACTCTAGCCATTCTTGATTCTCAATATCAGTTATCTTACCACTAAGCCATTTTAAGGTTTCTTAGTTGAATTTTTCTGAAAATTTATTATCTTAAGAATTTTTTGTTATCATATTTTTATTATATCTTTTTATCTTTTACCATTTATCATTTCAGTTTTTTAGGTCAACTGATCCTAAGGGCAAATTCGTTTTTTGCAATGAGTCAATATTAGATGATAAGCGGTTTAAAGGATCGGAATTGAATTATACTAAAATAATGAATGCTGTCTTACCAAAAACAATTCAAATAATCGCATGGGCACCAGTGCCAAAAATTTTTAATTCTCGTTATGACTGTAGTCGACGAACTTATAAATATTTCTTTCCTGTTGCGGATTTTGATTTGAATGTTAGTCTTTATTTTTTATCACTCTATCTTATTTTTAAATCTATTTTGCTTGAAATGGAAAGAAAAATTGTAGGCAATGAGAAAAGCTTGTACATACTTGATTGGAGAGCACGATTTTCGAAATTTTTGTCGAATCGATCGCTCGCATATTAAAGAAAATTATGTTCGAAATATTTGTTCGGCAGAAATTATTTTAAAGTAAATTTTTTACGTTAAAAATTTTTTCCGTTTTTATGAATTTATTTTTTCATAATTTTTCGGTCTAATTTTAAAAAAATAGGTTTTTGTTCAGCCTTTGAATTTTTTACCTTTCTAATTGATTTCTTACACTGGCTTACACTGATCCAAAATTTAAAATCTTATTTTGAAAATTATTTTTGTGTTTTATGGTGGATTTGGATTCAGAAGAAATTGCTTCAACATCAGCTAAGCCTTACTGCATGGCTGAATTAACAATAATAGCATCTGGTTTTTTATGGCATCAAATTCGCTGTATTATGGCCTTATTATACGAAGTTGGGAAAAGCCGTGAAACTCCTGAGGTTTCTGCAATTTCTGAATTATCAGCTTTATTTTTACATATTTAATCATTTTTTTCTCGTTTATATTTTTTCAAATACCTTCCTATATTTTTTATAAAATGATTGTAATTTGCCATATTTTAGATTTTTGTTGATCTATTGGATATTACGAAGATGCCATCGAAACCTGTTTATGGTTTGGCATCTGGGATTCCTTTATGCTTTTACGATTGTTCTTTTGATAAGACGGATTTCGAGTGGAATTGGGATATTGATGCAATTAGTAAAGTAAAAAATCATCTCTTGTCGTCATGGGTCGATTTACAATCTAAGTGCGTTGAATTTTTCAACTTATTAAAATGGAATAAGTTGTGTGTAGTGAAGGCGAAATATTTTTTCGTTATAGGTCGCTGATCATCCGAAGTATGGTTGATGGACTTAATTCGATGGTGCCAGGTCTGCCAAGCGATTCACATGGTCTTGCTGAATTTTTGAAACCATTTGGTTCGCCATCATCCAAAATATATATTCCAATTAATATGCGACAAAGCTGTAATATTTTAGAAGATAAAAAGGGAAAATTTGCCGAAGAAAAATGATATGTGAATCGTACAGAAGAATCGACTTGTACTTTTGAGGAATTTTAATAAGCAAGTGTATAACAGGAAATACTTAAAGAAAACAATTTGAATATTGTAAAAGATATAATAGGTAAAAAGAAAAGACGATTATTGCATTGAAAAAGAGTCTTCATTTAACTGATATTATGAGGCATAGGGCAGCAATCTTTATAAATGTGGAGTTCAAATCGAAAAAATATACCTGTGACTTTTCGTTTTGATGTTTTGAGTTTGCTTCACTTACTATCATAATTGATGCTATATGTAGAAAGGCAATTTGGTTGTTTTCGAGGTTTCACTCAATAGATCCTCACCAACTGTGGTAAATTTCAAGGTTTATTTGAATTGAAGGAAAGAAGAAGTCGAAGGAATAGCTATTTCTGACCTGAATCGCTTGCGATAATGGTACAAGTGCATTTCCAGTATTGTTGAGATTTCAGTGATATTCAGTGCCAATTATATTTATTCTTATCAAAAGACGAGGATCGAATCCATATTATTGCTTTATTATGTGTGTTTCACTTACAACATTGTTGTGAAGTAAATGATTTCAGTACCTTGGAATAAATTCTTTGTTGCTTACGGGCTAATTTGAAAGATCCAGTTTATATATATATATATATTGTATTGTATCACTGTTTTTTAAAAATTTATATTAGCATTGGTAACACTCATAATGATAAATGATCATCTGACTATCAAATTTGTTAGACTACCCTAATGAAAGTGATAATGATTGATACATCATTTTGCATTTTGCTTACAAATGTATTGCCTTTTCTTTTTAGGTAACTTCTGATATAGGAGAAGCAGGAAGGTGATCCGGAAGATGGAAGATGAGGTAGTTTTTCGATGCATTGTTGTTTTTCGTGAAAATAAGGATAAAATAAGGACGTGAAAATACAGATTCTGTTTCTGATTAAGGTGATTCGTTTTCGTGACGATCCAGAGTGGGACGACGTCGAGCCAATTCCACTAAATGATGATGAGCAAGGTGCGGTACGAATATCTACAACGGATGCTTTTAACGACGCGTTCATGTATTTACGTGCATTGCTGCAGACGAATGAAATTTCAGAACGTGCTTTCAAATTAACTGATCGGTGACGTTATTTTATTTTTCTTTTTATACTTTTATAGTTAATAGGGTCATTGCCAAATTATCTGTAATTAATAATGGTAATTTTATATAATTTTTATATATATAATTTATATAATTTAATATTAATTTTTATGAATTATAATAATAATTATAGATAATTTTTATAAAATTTTCAATAAATAACTATGATTGATGGAATTTTTTTAATGTAAATTTTATCTAAGTTAAATAATAAATAATTAATTAGTTTTTTGCTTCCTTTTTTAATATTTGATTTTATTACAGATGTATTGAATTAAATCCAGCTAGTTATTCAACATGGCAATATCGCCGAGTATTACTAAAAGGATTAAATAAAAATTTAGATGACGAGTTTAATTATATTGCAGAAATAATAGACGATAATCAAAAGAATTATCAAGGTTATAATTTTAACATATTTTGTAGGCAAATATATCAGTTTAATTCACATATAACACTATTTTGGAGCAAATAATTTCAGTATCTTCGAATAAATTCTTTTTTGCTTTGATTGACTGTTGAACATGCATACTCATTTAAATTTGGCAATGACCCTATAACTATAAAGAATTTTCTTATCATTTTTTTGGCGAATCTAAGTGGAAACATTTTTAAATTTTAGTTTGGCATCATCGTCGAGTGTTAGTCGAATGGAGTAATGATCCCAGCCGGGAACTCGAATTCACTGCTTCAATTATAAATGATGAGCCAAAAAATTATCATGCTTGGCAGCATCGACAATGGGTTATTGAAACTTATCAGTTATACAGTCAAGCAGAACTTGATTATAGTGCCAGTCTTATTGCTGATGATGTTCGCAATAATTCGGCGTGGAATTATCGCTATTTTTTATTAGAGGGTCTTGATTTTCTAAACGTAGGATTTTTAACGCTATGAAATAAGTTTATGTTCGCATTAATAAACATATCTATGAAAGGAAATTCTCGCTAACTGTTAACAATTTTATTTTTTTTCTTCTATCATTTCTAGGTTGTACTAAGTTTGTTTTTTTTTTCAGCGTCCAGATGCACTTGATAAGGAAATTGCTTTCACTGAAATGTTTATCAAACAAGCTCCCAATAACGAAAGTGCATGGAACTTTTTAAGTGGTATTTTATTTGACGTGAGTTCTTTAAAACCTATTCTGTATATTTAATTTGCAGAATTCTATTGGATCTCAAAAAAGCTTATAAATATTCCTTAGAGATTAAAAAAATTCAAGAACTTGAATAACTACTTGGATAAAATAATAATGATAAGAATAAATCAGATAAATTTGTTATTTTTTACTTTAAATTTTTAATTTAAAGATCTATTAGAATTTTTAAAGATTAATTAAATCAAAAGAATCAGCTGTTTCACTAAGTTGAGAGCTTGAAATTTATATTTTTTGAGCAGCTGCTAAATAATTCAACTATTTTTTTCCTTTATTTTATAGAAGGGATTATCTTCTCGAACGGATATATTTAATTTCTGTTATGATCTTTGCAAAACGCAGAAAGTACCATTTTGCTTAAGTTTCATGGTTGATGTGTTGATCGAGAAGATTGAAAAGAATATCGAAAGAGAGGTATAATTTTATATATATATATATATATATATTGGTAAATTTTAGCTAAAAAGGTATGATGTTAAAGATGTTATTTCGTTTTATTTCGCAGAACATGAACGGATTTTTTAGAAAATACAAAGCCACTTTATCTTTAATGATAATTCTAGATGGTTTGGATTTGTTCTATATTTTCAGCTTTTTTATTTTACTTTTTTAATTTTTTATGTGCTTAAAAAAATTTGATTTTGCGATTAAACTTTTTTTCAGAAAAGTTCAAAACACGCTTTTGAGTTATTAAAAGAATTAAAGAAGGTTGATCCGATTCGAATTAACTACTGGCAGTATTGCGAGCAACTTGTTAATAATTTATTGCAATTTTCTCAACGTGATGATTCCTAGAAATTTCTTAAAATTTTTAAAAATTAATTTTAAAAATATAAATATTCGTTCTTTATGTTATATTTTATTTTTTCATCATTGTTCAATTTCTCTTAATTTTTAATTTTTTTCAATTTTTCGAAAATTTTAATTTTAAATTTATAGTATAATTTCTTATTGGTTTAAATAAACGATTGTATGTATATAAATTATGAAGAAAAAAATCGCTTTTTTTTTGTTCGTGAAATGAAGGCTATTGCCTATGTTCATATCTTTTATAAGAATTTCTTTAAATTTCCTATAATCAATCAATTACCATAGTCGACAAATTTTAATTTTTTATTATATATTATTATTTTGTTATTATTTTTATTATTATTTTTAGCGCATTTTAGATGTTCCCATTTTTGTTCCCATGTTCCCATTGTACGATTGCACTCGTCTATTGAATGTTGTTGAATGTTTCTCTATGGGATCGTTTTTTTGGCATTCATTTTCCAATATAATCGCTTTATTATAAATTTATTATAATTTGGTATATTATTTATGTTTTATAGAAATATATATGTGTGAACGAAAACTCGCTTTACTGGGATTTTCTCTTGGCAGTTTTGATTGTGAAAGTTAGTCTTTTGCAATTTTTTGACTCATCGATATGAATTCGTTTTTTTATGGAATTTTTTTTTTTGATTATATTCATACGAGAAAGAATTTTCTTATTAAAAGGTGAATTTAGTGAATTTTAGGTGAAAATCATGTATTCGAATTGATAGAGTGGTTGGAAGATCAACATATTTGCTTGTATAGTATGAATAGTCGAGAGAATCTTCGCTCAGCGGATAACAATGTTCGTCAACAAGCTGTGAAGAAAGTGAGAATTTTGTAAATAATATCCAAGATTTGTGAAATTCACTATCATTCAATTTTTGATTTATTAATTAATATTAAATACATTTTTTAAAGAGTCTTCACCATTACTGGTTAAACTTCGCTCCGCTGACTTGTCACATTGGACAAATATGCCATGGAGGAGTATCTTGGCGATAAAAGTATAAGTGAATTGCCAACATCACCCGAACAGGTTTACTCCTGCGGGGAATAGAACTTCAGCATTGGCGCTGTGAATTGAGCTACAACCCACAGCCATTCTATCCCCATTAATTTATATGTATATTTTTTTCTCAAATATATTCAGCTTATACATCAAATCGTTTTAGTATCTCGTTGATCTCAATTGTCCTATTACATATTCTCAAAATTGTATGAAAGAAGTTGTCGACTGGCTTCTGAATTATGCAATAGAATTGATTTATTCACATAACGGTATAATTTCGAAATATTTTCTGAATGTGAAAACCATTTTTTGATCGATTGAATCCATTGACTACCACATTAAGACTTTAAGGTTTAATCTTGCAATCCAAGGTACATTCCACACTACTTGCTCTTAGTCGAAGCGACCACAGATTATATTGGTCGAGCAGGACAGAAACCGTATTAATATGACAATAAAATAACAAATTAGAAAATTGGAACTATTGTGATAAAGATGAATTTTTCGCTAAATTATTTCGTGGATAATTAATTCTATTAATTTTTAATATAATAATTTTGCTTACAGATGAAGCCAAAAATCTTACATCAAAAAAGTATAATGAAATGAAGATTGATTTAGAATCGAGGCAAAAACTTGACGATCCTATCAGTACTCTTGATTGTTCGTTTTCCTTTTGCCTATTTTCAATTTATTTCTATTTGAAGATTTATATTTTTATTTTATTTTTTAAAAGTTTATTCAGTTTTCAGTCAAATGCGAAGAATTTAAAAAAGGTGTTGAGAGCATTCGTGATTTGCTTGGGATCGCTTATCATCCTGATTCCATTACAATCTTAAAAGCCTGTTGCAAGGTTGTTATTTGCTTGAAATATTAGAATACCTATTAGTTTTAATTATTTAATGAGTTTTGATTCTATAATTTAAAAAAGGAAATGAAATTTAAGCTGCTATGATGCATTAACTATTTCAGTTTATTGCTAAAAATCTTTCAAACGAAGCAATTCAAAGGAATAATATTAAGGCGAAATCTAATCCAAATGTTAGTTCATTGTTTTTATTATTTTAAATTTCAATTATGTTAAAAACTTTGGTTTATAGGAATTGTCTAAACTGTTTTTCCAGTTAAATGTAATGCCACTAAATGCTTTTGAAATTGGAATGGCGGAAAGCAAAGATAAACAAGTAAACACTGCAGCACGAGCTTTGCGTCTTGTTCATTTGGAAAATCTTCGTGAAGTGCAAACTGAAGTAAATGAGGCAATAGTTGCGGTTCAGAAACTCACAGCTGATCCGAAGACTGATGCGCGTCTTGGTAGAGTTGGTTTTTAAAAGGTCTAATGACTATGCAAGATAGTTCATTTTTAAGGCGTCTGATATATGATATACAGGTCTTATTTCTTTGTTTTGCTGCTTTTCAACAAGCGTTTGTCGTGTCGTAATCAACTCAGTAAATCAACTTGAGAATTTTTTGAATTTTGAGAATTGAGAATTTTTAACATCAAATCGTTTATAAAAATTGAACAATTTCTTAAATTTTCAAATTAAATAACAGTTAAATAATTTTTCTTAGGTGCATTGGGGTATGTTAGATTTTCTAGTACCATATGTTTGCTAATTTATTTAAAATCATGTAAATTTTACTGATATTTTAATTTTTACTGTGAATATAAAAAAATCTTTATCATTTATTTATTGTTATTTTTAACTTTATTATTAATTTTATTAATAATGTTTATATTGTTTTAATTTGTTTATTTTTTGCTAAATAAATTTATTAATATGGAGTTCAAGGTTAATAGTTTCCAACTGCATATAAAATGCTTGTGGATTTTTTTTTAAAATCTATTTGGGATTTATATTCATTTTCATTTTTATTCATTTTCTCGAAGAAAATTATGAAAATTATGTTTATTATTTCATCAGTATATTGATGTATTTATTTATCTTACAATCTATTAATTTCCAAGATTGGCTTTTAGGATTGTCACATTTTATGTTTAATTAACTTTTAATATGGCGACAGCAGAAACAAGAAAACATCCGAATATTCTAATTACAGGAACTCCTGGTTCAGGAAAAAGTACGTTGAGCGAAATTCTTGCTAAAAAATTAGGTTTGGTTTCTTCGTTATTTTTATTTTTTTCTTTTCTATAAAATTTCAAATTGAATGATCATTTAAAATGATTTTAATTTTATTTAGTTTTAAATTGAATTTCTGTTTTCCATCTGATTTGAGAGGAATGGACCTTAATAGTGAAATCCGGATAAACTACATCAACTTTTATTCCCAATGCGTTTGCTGAAAATCATCTGAATGCCTTACCTTAGTAATCAGTGGAACTAGTTAAGTCGAAAATGCTTAATGCATTGGAGGAAAAAGTTTCGCTTTTCAGGATTTGAACACATTAATGTTGGTAAATTGATTCGTGAATATGAATTATATGATGAATATGATGAAGAAATGGATTGTCATGTATTAAATGAGGATAAATTACTGGATCATATAGAGGTTTTTAAATTTTAAACCTATAATTTCTTTATTTCATAATTTCATCTATTTTCAAGTGGATTCTTCTTCTTCTTCTTCTAACAGCTCTCACCATTACTGGTTAGGCTGGCTCCAACGTTTACAAGGGTAAGACGCTTCCAAGCGGCGCGGTCTGTTGCCATCGTCGACAGTAATAGAAGCCATTCCTTTTTCCATCTCTAAGTCCATATATTGCTGGTCCACCTATACGTTCAAAATCTTTTCTAACCGTATCAGTCCAGGTCTTGATTGGCCCATCTCGCTTTTGATGCCAACCGTCACTCGCTTTTAGCAAATAACGAAATATGCGTCAACTCGTGTGGTGGAGAATGTGCCCTAACCAGCGAAGATGGCGCTTATTTATGCAAGTGGTATTTGAACGAAGGTGGTTGCGATCTTGCGAGATTTTATCCACTCGGCGAACCCGTAAAATATACCTTAGACAAGAGTGGTCAAAGGCAGATAACTTCTTAATATCCTCCACTCTCATTTTCAAGTGGATAAAAATAATATATTCATTGGCTTTGAAATATTTCTTGAAGATTGAAAATTATTTCTTTCTTTTATTTAAAATTTTATGTATGAAACGATTTAGGATAGACTAGATTCGGATGAAGGAGGTTATGTGGTGGATTATCACGGTTGTGATTTTTTTCCTGAACGATGGTTTGATTTCGTTATTGTGCTTAGATGTAATAATACAATATTATATGATCGTCTTAAAGCTCGAGATTATTCAGAAAAAAAAATCCGAAACAATTTAGAATGCGAAATATTTAATATTCTTTTGGAAGAAGCTGTAGAGTCATATAAGGTACTCCTTTTTTTTTGTGTTTTCAAAGATTTTCTAAGATGCTATTCTATTTTTTCCTAGAGTATTATTTTTTATATAGCTGAAAAACGACTGATATGCAAATAAATTTTGTGATATGCAAATTTTTTTTCTAATTCATAAGGATCTCTTAGCTGCACTGGAATTTTGGAAAAATTGATTCACTCCCACGGGAATAGATCCATTGGCATTCTAAGGTGAATCTAACTGCTAATTGAGACAATCTATTCCATATTCGTATATGAGCGAATAAATAATAAATCATGTTTTTAGGCAGAAATGTTATTTTAGGCAGAAATAATTCACGAAATGACAAACGAAACGATCGAGCAGATGAATGAAATTTGTGAGAAAATTGAACAAATGGTCTCTGCGTGGAAAAATTGATTTTCTATTTTTTCTTTATTAAATAATTTTTTTATATGTAATTGGAAAAAATTTCGGGTTTATTATTGTTTTCATATTATTTGTTTAATTTCTGCTTGTTATTTATTCATAAATATTTAAAATATTTCATATAAAATATTTCATATTTGATTTCCATCTACGATTTTAAATTCATTTATTTATTTATAATTTTTAGAATTAATGCCGCTAAACCCGCTATATTATTGTTTTTTTCAGAGCTATCTAAATTTTATTATATTTGCTCCTCGGACTCTTTCATTAATGGTTCTTTTTAAAGAACTCTCACCATTACTGGTTTGACTAATTCCGTTGGCTTATCGCATAAGACAAATGTACCATTGGCAGTCCGTTGGTAATAAAAATACGGATAAGTCGCCAGTGTCACCCGAATTCTTTGGACAGATTTAATCTACGGAGAACCTCAGCATTGGCGCTTCAAATTAAGCGAAAACCCACTGAGCCATTCTAATTTAAGGTTTAGAGAATAGTATATGAGTTATCAGCGTTATCAGCAAAAATAGCAAAAAATTATGCCAGGTTTACATGAACGTAATTTTCTTTACATAATTCCAGAATTGTTTTTTATTTTCGAGTTTAATTAATTTTTTTAGATAACATTATGTGTAAAATGTGGGAAAGAATACGTTTAGGTGTAAGGTGGAAACCAGAAGAGCGTTTTGCGTTGGCATGTCGTGGAATGAATTTAAAGAATGTTTCAACTATAAAAATATCCATCGATCCTTTTTATCCTGGAAATGGTTCAATCAGGTAGGCACTGTCGTCAAAATTATATTCGAGGACTGTTTTTCTATCCACTGGAATTTTTTGATTAGACTGAGGGTGAGAATTTTTTAAATTTATTGTGAGTAAAAAAGAAATAATTCCGTTGGCTTGATTGGCTAAAAAGAAATAAATTTTTTACTCTTATCACTACGATTTTCTATGGATGGAAGTAAATGTCAAGTAAATGTTAAACGAAAAGTGATTATTTATCTCGAAATGACTCTCTTAAGAAAAGATCATCCAAATGAAACTTATTTTTGTCCCAGGTGAAAGCAGCTAGATATCTGGAGATTTGTGCTTTTTTCAGAGAAGGCGAACAATAATTGCTCTTTTATCAACTAAATATTTGGATGAATGGACTAATTAAGGAATAAATTTTTGCCATTTTGATTATTGTATTTAGGAGGTTTTGGCAGAATGTGACTGGTCCTCGAATTCTCGCAACTAATCAAAATGTTAAAATTACTTCTCAAATTAGAAACGATAATAAACCACCATTTTTCACTGTCACCACAGGTGCTTTCTTATCGAAATATAAATAAATATTAGTTTTTTTTCTTTTTCTGTATGAAAAAAACATGGAAAATTTTAGTTGATGGTCGTAAAATTATTTTCAAAACGGACGGTATGCCGGCAACTGATTTAGTGATGCATTTCAATCGATTGCTCGGATTTCCAGAATTCGGAAAAGCTGGTCTTCGGCCCCCAAAACAATTATAAAAATATTCTATTTCGAGCACTTTTGAATAAAAATTTTCTATTAATTTTTATCAGGTTATTTTCAATAGCATGGAAAGATAACCTAATTTCCCTCTCAAATCTTTGGAAATACTAGAAAATAGAGAAGAAAGTCAATAGTCTAATTGTAGATCAAATTAAATGTTAATGAGGTCATCTTATCAGATCTATATCAGATCTATTTATTTTTTATTCTTAACTTGGATACCCCCTCGAGGTGCATGACATTTTTCTAGGCTCCGTAACGAGTAGCGAAATAATCCGAGGTCAACCTCATTCTCTTACTGAAATCATTGTGAATTATTTTTAATACAGTGGTGATGTTTATTCTGTTTATGATAAAGCCAGCGCCTTTTAATTATCAGTTTGATAATTTTTGGTTTTAATGAACACATAAATTTTTGAATATCAGATTCATTAATATTTGTATATTATAAAAATATTACCATAAAAAATTGTGCTATTTTTTTTATTTTATATTTATAATCATGAAATATAATCATGAATCTCATGATTGATAACTGTGCTTCAGTGAAATGTCTTATTAGAAACATTAGTAATGAGAACTAGAAACTATGAGAAGCGTCTTCTAACTTGGTATTCTAAGAAATATCAGCTCTTCGTATAAAAATAAGCCTTTTTCTATTATCTACAATGCATTTACCAATGCAGCGATTGCTTTAAGCAAGAAGATAGTAGCTAAGGCTATATAAAAGGGTAAAAAAAATTAAAAAATTATAAAGGCTTATAAAAACTTATGGTTTAGCTAATTAATATTTATAATTATATATTTTATAATATTTATTTTATGATTAAAATTTAAAATTAATTTAATTTATAATTTTATAATTGTAAAAATTTATATATAAATAGAAAAACTTTTTTCATTAATTTTTCGTTAATTTTGAAATTTATTTATAAGTAAAATAAAATATTTAAAACAAATAAATTTATTTTTTTATTTATAAAAAATTTCAATGAACTTATTTATATTTATAAATAAAATTTAACTCGGATTTAATTCGAATTGAAGGAAAAATTTATACGAAATTTTAAAGTATATTGAAAAATATATGAAAATTTTCATTTTCCAATTTTTTTCGGAATTGCTGATGGATTGATTTTATTAAGTTTTCATATATATTCATCTTAACATAAATTGTCCAGAAATGACAATTATAAATACAATATTTATGATTTGACTAACAAGTCGGTGAATTTTCATGGAATAAATATTTATCGAGCATGGAATTATGCTTGTTTCAAGAAATGGTCATTTCATCAATCCGTCCTCGATATTAAACGAGCAGCGTATTCATCAAAACTATTACGTAGTTCATCTGTAATCCAAGCAAGTAATATCCTCCAAGCTTTTACACCATCTCGTGTTTTCTGAAAAATATTCTTCAAATTAAATTTATGTTCAAATTCTAAGAAATATCCGAGTGGAGCTATTCCTAAAAATTCGTTTTGCAGAATTTGATATTTCAATATCCGATTTACGTATTCGATTTCACTGTTTAGCTTATTGCTCATTGAAAAATCGAGGTTTTTAATCAGTAATCAGTGAGTAATCAGTTAAGCGAAATATAATAAATTCTTAGAATCAATCAATCATGTTATCATATATTATCATGTTATCATATGTTATCATAGTTTGCAAATATGAACATATTCTTTGTTTTATAATCTATTACAGCAAAAATAAATAAATCTAATATTCAGATTTTTAGAAAAATATGCATGCATGAACCAAAATAAACCAAAACAATCTTGAATTGTCGAATTGCCTTTTGAATGATATACTATCATTTCGACATGCCGAAACGTATGTACGCATTTCCTAGCAATCACTCGAGTTTCATTCCTAATGATAAGCTTATCCACTTTTAAGGGATGCGAAGAGAATTTCATCAGTATAAAAAACGATTATAATAAAGTACCCACTTGAACAACATCGAGTGAACAAATCGTTTCCATTGTAATTTCACCAAATTTCTCCCATATTTCGGAATTAAATGCACATGAATATTTAAGTTTAGCATGATATTGTCCAATTTTTTTCATACGATTTGCCATATCAATTTCATCACTCATATTTTGCAAAATTTCATCGAAGAAACTAAAATATTTTATGAAAAAATAATATGAAAAACCAATTTATATATATTATGAATGTGAATGCAATTTTTTGAAAAATCATCTAATTTATTCATTAAAATCAAAAATCAAATAGGAAAAAAAGTATATAATAAATGAACTGATAAGCTGATTTTGTTCTTTTTTCGATTTGAATAGTACGTGAATGGTGATTTATGGTGATTCATGAATGGTGAATGGTAAGCAAAAGTTAAAAATAAATCAACAAAGCTTAAATACTTTTTAAATACGAATTAGGACGAAAATCCATAGGGGAATACCCGAATAACTGTGACGTCAAAAAGGCTTTGTTTAGTTTATGATAATTTGCACGAAATATCAAACGAGGATTTCCATAAAATAGATCAGAGCATTAAGGGGTATTCGCCTCAAGTCGATTTTCATGATTAGCTAAATTGACATTCAAAGGAATAATTTGAATGATAAAATATGCACCTAATCATTAGTTTCACATGGTCATCTAATGTTCCAAGTTTATTGCTTTCTACTTCTCGATTAAATGCATCAATCACAGCAGCTTTTTGAAAAATCTTAAATTTAAATAAAAATTCATAAATTTTAAAAAAATTTTAAAAAATACATAAATTTTATTCAAATTTCGAATTTGTGAAGGAATGATATTTTAAAAAATGAAATGATTGAAATTTTAAAAAATATAATATAAGCGCTTTGAATTTTGAATTTTTTGAATTATGAATTATTCAGAAAATTATTCAGAAATTATTCAGAAAATTAAGAAAATTATCCTTATCAGCGTAAATTATTCAGAAAATTAAGAAAATTATCCTTATCAGTGTTTAAAATATCGAATACTTTAACTTTGACTGATAACATTCCAAAAAGTTTATCAAAATGATCAAAATGAATTCCGATTTTTTTTTTTTTTTAGAAACTCTCACCATTTCTGGTTTAGTTGACTTATTAAATCAGATAAATTTTCGCAGAGACTCACTTGAAAAGAATTATAAAAACTCTAACAAAAATAACTGTGGTAACTGCAAAATCTAATCAATTTTTTTTTGATATGGGCCTATCTGTCAAAAAGGCCATAATTCGAGTAATTATTGAGGACACCTAAGATGATGACTTCCATTTTTCTCGAAATACATGCGAAATTGGATCTAATATAAAAAAAATCTAAGTATAAGATCGAAGCTAGGATGATAAATTCGAAAACTTTGACAAAATTATCAATTAGCTCTAGTTCAGGGTCTTATCTGTCTTATCTAATATCAGAATGCCTAGAAGTTAAGAACTAGACAATAGCCATTTTCTTCAAGTGTTAGATAGGCATCGTTTCTCTATCGGAAGCCTATTTAATCAAAAAAGCGAGAAAGAAAAATTTGAATACGCTGGAAACGTTACTTATCATAATGGTTCTGTATTTGGTAAGTATTGCATCGGTATGCCAGTGGAGATCGCCACCTTCATTTCACTAGAGGTGCAGAAGGTACTCCTGCAGAAAGTAAAGGGAAAAAAACCCTCCGCCAGCAAATAACTTTCTTACTTATACTAAATAAAGCAAATAAACTGAAAGCATGGTTCTAATCAAGCTTTACGATCAATATTGCGATGAAAATGTGAAGGATTGTGCAGAAGATCTTGGCTTATGCCATCAGCGATGTAAATACATATGGTGTGGAAAATAAACTATTTCCACCAATTTTCTATATGACATCGAATCCAAAAGCTTGGAAACGTCTCATCTTTTTAGCCAACTCAGTTGGTTGTTGCTTAAGTCGGAGCACCGATGCTGAGGTTGTACTTCCCGAAGAAGGTCCAAAAATCTGTCCAAAAATCCGGGTGATGTTGGCGATTCTACTTCTATCGCCAAAGAACTCTCATGCATATTTGTCTAGTGCGACAAGCCAGCGGAACAAGTCTAAACAGTAATGGTGAAAGCTTTTATAAAAAAAAAAGATTTTAACCTATTGAAAAGGAAGATGAATATCATTAAAATGCTTTTTTTTTTATCAACAGCAAAAAAAAAAATTATTTAAATTATTTCAATAAAAATACTTTTAGAATATTTTAATTTAAATTTATTAATGGTCAAATGGTATTTTTTTTTTTTTGAATATTTTTTGACTTAAATTTGAGGATAAATAGCAGTGGGAAAATTTCGAAAACCTGTTTAACATTCGAATATTCATTTTCCAAATCGTTCAAAATTTTTCGCATTATCGATGTTTGAATTTTTATTACTTTCCAGGTTGTTAATAAAGCGTTTTGTTGGCCGAATGTTAATCGAGATTCTAAAAAACTTTAAATCTTTTATAAGAGCGATTAGCGATATTTAAAAATTTTTTAATAGTTTGTATATAAATGGATTTGTTCTCACATATAGAGGAAGCCACTTTTTTGTTTCTGGAAAAAATCTTGTTTCTGGAAAAAACCAAATCTTTATGAGTAAGTAAATCTTTATGAATATGGAAGAGGAAATTAAGACAGAAGCAGAATAATCGAATTGTTTAGGTTTATGAATTTGATCTCAAAATTTATAATCTGCTGCATTGAATCTATTCTTCGTTGTGAACCTATTTTTTAAGATGTAACAATGCGTAAGATCCATTTATATTTCAGCTCCTAAGGATCTCTTTGAATAAAAAAATTTTCCATTATATTTGCAGCTAGTATAACGAAACTAATCAAAAATTATTAAAATTACCTAACTTTTGAATAAATAAATGAATAATTCGAATTATTTTATGATAATAATATAAGCTATCTTAATTTTTCCGATAAATTTCATTGCTAATAATTTGCATTAAAAGCCTTTGGAAAGTCAATTCGATGGAATTAAATGAAGCGCAAAAAAAAAAAAAAAAAACAACTCACCGTTTTCCGCGATAACCTTACTTTTTGATCTAATTGTTTTCTTATTTTTATAATTTCCTAAAAATTTTTTTAGTTTTTTCGGAGAATCGATTCGTAGTGATAAAAAGTTCATAGTAATGAAAATGAATTATGAAAAAATCCAAGAAATTTAGCGCTATCGTATCCATCTAATAATACATTTCAACTGTTTTAAATATTATTTAATAATTTAATAATTTTTTTTTTTTTCGTTGATAGTAATAATTCTTTTTTCTCTATTTCCTATTAGTACAATGAGAAATTTTTTTACCAAAAAAATCACTAAGAGATAGAAGAAAAAGATGGATTTTTCAGTTTCATTACATTATTACTTAACCTAAGGTTTATAAATTGAATAAAAATAATGAAAAATAATAATAATAATAATAAAACCTTTCAGCGAATATCTTAATGATTGCGCTCGACATAAATTTTTATCAGTAGTTTCCATTATTAATATTTACAAAATAGTTTTAATAGTTTTAGTAAATTCACTTACGAAGTTTGTTGTTAAATTGCAGCAAAATACTGAAAAATGATAAGAAGAAAATGAACCAATTCTAATAAAATTTCGCATTTAATTTACTAGATCATTATTTTTTAGCCAACAAATAAGATTTTTCATAATGTGATTTTATCTTGTCTCTTATCATTTTAATTTGTCAAATCTCTATTCTCTGATAATGCTATAGCAAGTTGTTGTCAAAAAAAAGCTCATTATTGAAAGCTTAAATCAGCTTTGACCAATTACAATTCCCTACTGACAGATTTATCGTATGAAAAAAAAAAAAGCATTTGCTCTGCTCTAAAAATTTCAAGTCTAACGATAATTGTGATAAAATTTATAAATGATTGAGAAAAAAAGTGATCAATGAAAGAATTTTTCTTTTGGCATAATTCAATAAAATTTGAAGAAATTAAAAATCTATTGATAAGGCTAATAATAGTGCAATAATTTTATAAATCTTCATTATAAATATTAAATATTTAAGCTTAAATATTGAAAATAAGTTATATGAAAAGAAATTTCGGCAAATATTAACATCCCCCCAAGGAAGGAATAGCACTTAAATTGAAAAATATCAATAATTATGGCTCTCAAAATATGTCACTTTGTTAGGAACATTAAGAGTAGCATTCCTCCATGAAATCATGGCATTTTGTTAGGAATATTATATAGGAATAATATTAGGAATAGCATTCCTTCATGAAATCATGTCAATTTGTTGGAATATTAGAGGTAGAATTCCTCTAATAAATCATGTCACTTTGTTAGGAACATTAAGAGTAGCATTCCTCCATGAAAGCATGTCACTTTATTAGGAATATTAAGAGTAGCATTCCTCCATGAAAGCATGTCACTTTATTAGGAATATTATGAGTAGCATTCCTCCATGAAAGCATGTCACTTTATTAGGAATATTAGGAGTAGCATTCCTTAACGTTACTCTATAAGAAATATTAGCGATAAAATTCCACAAGGAATGTCTTCTTTATAAGGAATATTAGCAATTTAAAAAATGGCTGAAAAAAATGAATTGCAAGTGCGGTCGAAGACCTTATGCGATGATCATTCTTTTTATTTGTTTTTATTAAATTGAAAGTGATTTTATAAAGTCTAATTGTATTGGACATACAGTTTGTAGAAGCAATCGAAGTGATAAATACAAATTTTAAAAAAAAGCCTAAAAAAAACAACAAATCGAAATATAAACATTTCTAACTGAATTTATGAAAAAAAAAAGAAAATTTTCTTTCCAAAAAATATTTTAACTATTTGTTGCTGATTGTTGATAAATTAGTTAAATTACGTTTCATTAGCTTAAGTATTTATATGAAATGAAGCATTAAAACGAAAATGAATTGAATATATATATTTTTCTTTCTGTTTAAGCTATTTTATTTAAAAAATTCCGTAAAAAAATTTATTTAAATGATAAAATTTAAAAAAATTTTTTAAAAATTTTTAGAAAGGTAAGAAAATTTTAGCAAACAACTGAAAATTTATTATTTTTAAAGTCAATAAAAAGAAGAAATTAATTAAAATGCAAAACAAATAAATTAATAGGCTTGAAAAAAATAATTTGTGACGAGAGATTTATAAAATTAAATTTGTTAAAAATATTTAATAATCATAGATCGAAAACATGAAAAATCTAATTGTAGCGATTTCATGGTGAATCTTTTCTTTTTTTAAACATTTGTATTTTTGATTTGTATTTTTAATTTTAAAAAAAAATTTAAAAAAAAATAATAGAAAGAAATAATAATTTTTTAGTATAAATAATATTTAAAACAAATAAGTAATATTTGAAATGAGCAACGAAAAAAATATACTGCAAGGATAACTCAAATGAAGAATCTTAGAGCAAATAGACCTTAGAAAACTAGAAATATACAACCACAAATTTCATATGGAACTATAAGATTCAGCTATTTTGGCGATAAAACACAGAAATATGCTTTTACTAGAAATTCACTGGAAAAAAAAAATATAATGTTGGAAATAGCAAATGGAAAACGGAAACAAGAAAGATCTATAACAAGATGGACTAATGAGACCACGAAAACCGATCGCACTTTTAAAAAAACATTTAAGAATTCTAACATCTAACGTAGAATAGAAGCGAATGGAAGAAAATCCACATGAATCAAAAATTAAATCAAAAATATATCAATTTTAAGATATATAAAATGTAAGTCGTATAGGTCATCCTCGAGTCCTCTACCAGAAGCATTTTGAGAGTTCTGGACTTTATTTTTTTCTGGGCAAAGATCCCTGATGAAGATCCCTTTCTGTGAAATCTATTGGAGCTACCGTTCCATTTTAATTCTTACATCTTCTAATGTTCCTATCACCACTGGTATTATTTTCATCATGCTACACGTTAAATTTCTTTTTTAGCCACTAGTATTTTTCTAGTTTCTCTTTCCCTCTTTCTGATATACTTCCGTCACTTGGTATTGCTATATCTATTACCAGTGTTCATTTCAGTGTTGACTTTTTTTACTACCATGGTATCATGACAATATCTAGCTGACTGGTTAGTACTTATTTATCCTGCCTGGATAGAGAAGTCAAAGGATCCCAAAGAATCTTCGTTTTATTATTCCAGGATTTTCTGGGAAATCTATCTAATCTTGGAGGGCCCAAGCCATATATTCCTATAGAAGACGCCAGCTATTTGGTTACACCTTTGGTTATTCCTTAATGTGTATCCCTGCTTATACATTTTGTATTCCACTTTCTGTACTCCTAGAGCATTTTTGCCCTGGCTAGTGTGGCAGATTTCTATTTTTAATGGATCTGATACCTAGTATTTATGATCAATGCTAAGATCAATGCCTCAATCTTCTAATCCAAATTTTTCCAAATATATAAAATATCTAAATTTATGTATATATATGTACAGTTATGCAATTTAATGGGAATAGAATTGCTCAGTGGCTTGTTATTCAATTGGGAATGCCGATGCTGAGGTTCGATGCAAGAGTAAACTTGTACAAAAATCCAAGTGATGCTGGCGATTTACCTGTATCGCCAAGGGACTCCCTGGCTTATTGTCCAATGCGACAAGCCAGAGGAGCGAGTTTAACCAGTAATGGTGAGGACTCTTTAAAAAAAAAATGCAATTTAATAACTGAAAACTGAAATTTATAAAATTTTTGTTATAATATTATTAAAATTATTAAACTTTTATTATTATAAGCTTGCTAAATTATACAATCAAAAAGTTTTCGAACTTCCGAATATTTGCAGAACAATTATTTTTTTTTTATTTTATTAGACCTTTCATCGAATAACGATAGCGAATTAAACTCAATGCACTTAATTGACCTTAAGTGATTTAAATCCCTTTTTTTAAGAGTTGTTACCATTACTAGTTAGGCTCGCTGCACTTCATTGTCGAACTGGACAAATATGCAAGAGAATCTTTGGAGGATTGAAACATAGAAGAGTTACTAGCACCATCCGGATTTTTAGATAGGTTTACTTCTGCGATTTTAATCTTTTTTAGGGTGATTTTTTAGCGAAAAAATCTCAAGCAAATATATAACGAATCAAACTAATCAAATATGATTATATGCAAAAGAAGAGAATCTCCTCGCCATTTTCTTTTCACTATTGCCTTATCCAATTTGTACCATTGCGCTATTAAATATAATTTTTTCATATATTTCTCAGATAAACGAAAGAAAAATATTTTCACTTAAAATTTATAATCATTTTGGAAGCAATTAATAAATTATTATAATTTATATTAAAGTTTAGAACGATAAAACGAAATGATAAAAAAGTGATAAGACGATATGGTTCGTTATAAAAACCAGCAGATTATTATTATATAAGATTTGAACAATTTTTATATTTATATTTATTAAATACCTTTTTTTTTACAATTCCATTAACATAATAATTAACAAATAAAATAAGAACGATTGGCATATTTTAATGGCTAATGCAGTTGTAAAAACTTATTTACTTGCTTCTAAAAAGTATAGGTAGAAAGCAACGAAATAGCATAACTAATAACTCATCTTGGGCAGTGAAAATTTTCAAAATTTTTTAAAATTCATAAAATTTTCAATGAATAATATGAATTTTTAGAATAATTCTATCATTAAAAAACAATAAGAAATTTGTCATAACTTTTTATTGCTTCTTTTAATAAAGTACTTTAGGTTTTATAGGTTTCGCATACTATTGTGATAAGATCATTTGCCAAGAGGAATAGAGAATAGAGAGATTATAGGCAGATAATCAGTAATTATCTTGCTTTCACTTTTTATTAGCAAATTTATTCCTATTAAGAAAAAAGATCCTTTGATTTTTCGATTTCATTATAAAATATTATAATATATTAAATTATTATAAAATCACATGATGAAATGATGATTTTTTAAAAATATGGCACGAAAAAATATATATATATTTATATACCATTCAGAAACGAACATTATAACCATCGATCAGAATTATTTATGACAATTACTGATTATGAATGATATTAATATCACATGGCAATTTTAGAATAAGTCAATTTACCTAAATTTTTTTTTGCATAATTTATTAACCATTTATATAATTGAAAAAAATAAAAACCTTTCACCTCAAAGATTTTTACCTGATTAAAACCCTAATAAGAACTTAATGAAGCGATGGAAAATTCTTATGGTTTTTTATTAGTTTCAATTCGTTTCGTCCTCCTTCATATCGTAGTTTCTTGTTTTTTTTTTGAAAAATTAAAAAAAATAAAAAAAAGGTTGAAAATTTTAGAGAACAATTGTAGTTGTAAGAATAAATAAAAAGTTTGCTTCTTCACCACAAAAAAATTATTACATAATATAAAAATTATTATTATTACTATTATTATTATTAAAAATTATAAATCATTGAACATTAATCAAAAATTTTTACGGTGATTTTTGATTTCCCATAAATATGTTTTT